TTTCTTCTTCTTCTTCTTCTCATTTTTTTTCTTCTTCTTCATTCTTCTTCTTCTTCTCATTATTCTTCTTCTTCTTCATTTTTTTTTTTTCTTCTTCTTCTTCTCTTCTTTTTTCTTCTTCTTCTTTTTCTTCTTGTTCTTCTTCTTCTTCTCATTTTTCTTCTTCTTCTCATTCTTCTTCTTCTTCTTCTCATTTTTCTTCTTCTTCTTCTTTTCATTTTTCTTCTTCTTCTTCTTATTCTTCTTCTTCCTCATTCTTCTTCTTCTTCTTCTAATTTTTCTTCTTCTCTTCTTATTCTTCTTCTTCCCATTTTTTCTTATTCTTCTTGTTCTTCTCATTTTTCTTCTTCTTCTCATTTATTCTTCTTGTTCTTCTCATTTTTCTTCTTCTTCTCATTCTTCTTCTTCTTCTCATTTTTCTTCTTCTTCTTCTCCTCATTTTTCTTCTTCTTCTTCTTATTCTTCTTCTTCCCATTCTTCTTGTTCTTCTAATTTTTCTTCTTCTCATTATTCTTCTTCTTCTCATTTTTTCTTATTCTTCTTGTTCTTCTCATTTTTCTTCTTCTTCTCATTCTTCTTCTTCTTCTCCTCATTCTTCTTCTACTTCTCATTCTTCTTCTTCTTCTTCTTCTTCTTTTTCTTCTTCTTTTCCACATCCCTTCAGATTGAGTTACCTCTCGTAAACACCTGCCAACATTTTTTTCTTTTCCTTACCGGAAGGTCGAATTGAGTAAAAAAAAAAAAATGGGGTGGTGGTGGTGGTGGTGGTGGCAAATAGAAAGACCAAAATTGATGGATGTTGGTGTAAATACGTCCAAACTTTATTGCCGTCTGAAAAAGATGAAGGCATCCAATACGGTTCTTGTTCGCCATTAAAAGGGAACAGAACTTATCCCGACAGCCAGTTATGTGCCATACGTGATACACGCATAGGCGATCATGTATCTTTCGATACATGACTGACGAGGTAGAATTTTTCCCGCCGGTCTGTCCTGCTATTTACTCATAGCTGGAGGGGGGCAGGTTAGAATAGGACGATTCATACCTTTCCCAAGGGTATCAGCATGTAAGTGAATGTAATGGATTTGACTGGAATTCGAACTCGGCTCTCCGATTTCTCAATCCAAGCCGATATCCATTACTCTACGACAGCGCACGAGGAGGAGGAGGAGGTGGAGGAGGAGGAGAATAATAATAATAATAATAATAATAATAATAATAATAATAATAATAATAATAATAATAACGACGACACAGGAGGAATAGAAAAGCGAACGGAGAAAAAGTTTCAGGAAGGAAAGACTAAAAGTGAATGACGAAGAGTTTAAAAAAAAATAGGATAGAAAAAATTGCCAGAAGAGATTAAGGAAAGAAAGACAGAAAAGTCGATGAGAAAAAGAAGAATAAAGACCAGTAAGAGGCTTTCTCTTCCTCTTGTCGAACTCTCTACGTCCGGGCGGAGAGGAACCCAAACGAGGCTATGCCGAAGGGCAGACTCCCGTTTGGGGGAGGTAGACAAGCTTGACCCCGTGTATACGGGGTCTACGGGCAATTTTAGTCCGGGCCTACGGACTCGGAACGCTACACGTTCAAAACTGGACTTATACCATATCTTGCTTTGTGAGAAACTGGTAAAGAAAAAAAAGGTGATATATATATATATTTATATTTATATATATATATGTATGTGTGTGTGTGTGTGTGTGTGTGTGTGAGAGAGAGAGAGAGAGAGAGAGAGAGAGAGAGCGCCTTGTAAACGCAAATCTTTCCTAGAAAATCGAAAGATACATATCTGCTCAGTTTCGTATCCTAGCGTAAACAAAGCAATTTATAAAGAATTAATGGATTTTTTAAATTTATTAATACAACAGATTTTATTACTTAAACGTTATTTTAACGGATACCCATAATTGAGTAGACGTACCGTTGATCTAATAAACAATATATTTATTTATTTTCGTCTACTGGCCTGAATATTCGAGAAAGAAAAATATACTCACTCCGGCATATGACTGGAGGAAAAAGATCATTCAGGCCTTCAGTAATATATATATATATATATATATATATATATATATATATATATATACCGTGTGTAGCAGCAAAAATGTCCAAATCGAGTAACCGCAAAACTTTCCAATTGCTAGATTAGGTTTGAACCCTTATAGCTTAGAAGTGATTAAAGATATATTACTGGAATTCCCCGAGGTTTTTTATAACACTATTGGAATTTACTTTGAACAATAAGAATGTATTTAGCTCTAAGTTGAAATGATGATGCCTCTTCCTGTTGTGACCTCCTCATCCAATTTTCCTCTTTACTGTTCCATCTTTTTAAAACTTATTCACCGTTCTCTTGATGGTTCTTGAATGAACTTTGAAGATGGAAGCCAGCGTACGAATATTGGTATCATTACTGAAGGCCTGAATGATCTTTTTCCTCTCACCATTGCTCAGTTTCCTATCCTAGCGTAAACAAATCAATTTCTAAAGAAGTAATGGATTTTTATTTATTTAGCCAGTAAAGCTGCAACGACACAAGAGATTACTTGGTTTGAAGGAACTAAATGTTGACCATGTTCACCATAGTCTATGAATATAGAATACAGCTCAGTACGTAATCTGTTCAATGAAACAACGTTAAGGATTAACACTCACGAGTCAGACACTCTACTGAATCTGAATATATCGCCAATACCACCAGCAGCTGTTCCATAATTCTTCAGTCTTCGATATCAAAGGCTGGCAGTGCATATTCGGGGAAAAAACATGGCCGCCTTTATACACGTCGCATCGAATATTTTGAGCCTTCTGATTGGTTAAACCTTCTATTGGTGAACTATAAAATGAGTCAGCTCATTTTGGCTGACTCACTAGTACAACAGGGTACCAAAAAATTCCAACACTAGAAAACAGAAACATTAATAAGGAGTGACAACGATAGAAGAGTAATCAGGAAGAGAGTAAATAACTACTGACACTGCATTTACGTCCTGGGTGTGATGATAAACGACATCCGGCAGCCAGGCGTCTGATTTGGAAGTTTTGAATAACATGGAATCACCTCATTTGTTTTTTTCCCAGCTCTACCATGACCCTTGTTGGTAACACCTGTTAGGGTGCCAGCTATGGGCAAATAATGAACCCCAAAACTAGGGTTAAAACAATATGAAAATATAAAAATAAATTTTATAAGTAAAAATTCCCAGAAATAGATTTTAATAGTAAAAGAAACAAAAACTGACTAAGCTCTCAGGTAAATTAAAAATCGGGATTAAATGACCCATAAGGAGTTGATATGACGTTAAACAGACCAAACCAAATCAAAAAGATTGCATTTAAATTTTTTGAAGATCAAAGTTAACTGGAAAGCATGTAGTCGGAAGAGAGTTCCGCAAAAGAATAGTCTGAGAGAAGAAACTGTTAGCATAGAACTTGCGGTTGCATCTATATCTAGAGACAGAGGCGCACCACCATCATTTCCTTCGTATTCCAATACATAAAAAGGAATTTGTATTTTGACAGCATTCTTCCCAAGAGATTCCTAAGAAAATGTTTCCCTGAACACTACAATCTTAACCTCTTCGAGTATTAGGTCAACAGCTACCTATCCGCCATATCCTCATATTTTGCACTTGGTTTCCTGTCCTACAATCAAGCAACAACCTCGTTTAATAAGTGCCACATAGGAAGAAAATGAGTAACTACATCGAGGTTCGAGAGTGACACTGAGGATTTATGAATATATGTTTCCCGCCAGATGTGTAAATAGCGATGTCAGGCTACTGACTGCAGTGATTATTGAGTGGAACTATCCAGTCGAATTAGTGTGAATTATTGGACATCAATGATTTGGGTTTTGATTTAAAATTTACCGGACGTTAATCCAAGCCGCGCTACTAATAAGGTATTCAGTGAAATGGTTAATTACCTATGGTTGACTTTTACTTTTTTGTTCTTGTTAAATATTTCTTATGTGACAAGAGAGTTTTATTAAGACTTATACTAAGCTCTTAGTAACTAATCAACTAACGGAATATTCCACGATGAACAAGATCAGCAACATATTAAGCACGTTTCAGTTGCATGCTTTCACGCGGGCGGCGTTTCATTCGTTTTGACGCATTGATTACCAGTACGTCCGTGTTTTACTTTTCATTACAAGACAAGCAACATTTGTATAAAGGCTTATAATTATTTGTAGATTTAAATCTAATTGTACTTGAAATTTTTGTTTGGATATGTCATATAGGAAGAAAATTAGTAACTACCACCACCAAGGTTCGAGCGTGACACTCTGGACTTATAAATATATATTTTCCGCCAGGTGTATCAATAGCGATGTCAGGCTACTGACTGTTGTGATTATTGAATGGCTATTGAGTGGAACTATCCAGTCGAATTAGTGTGAATTATTTTGCGTCGATGATTAGGGTTTTGATTTAGAATATGCCGGACGTTAAGCCGAACTGCGCTACTAACAAGATATTTACTGAAATGGTTAATTCTCTGTGACTTTTCTTTGTTATTGTTAAGTATTTATTTGGGTAGTAATTAAATACTGTTTTATGTTATCATTGAAGTCTTCAGCTATGGTTAATCATTAACGGTCACCGTACAAATGTAAGCCACTATCTTAAGTGGCTCTTGAGGCTTTGCATTGGGTGAAGATTTCGTAAAAGTAATTCCATTATAAATACGATGAATTTACCTTCTGCTAAAACCGCGCCGATTTCCGGTTTCCTCTCTCACTTGACCAATCAAAAATCTTCGTTGTGTGTGTTTTTTTTTTTCGCTTCCGCCATTATCCCACCCCACCTCCGTATAAATCTTGAATATTCTTCCGTTTATATTATTTTTCTATTTTGATTTTTTTTTTTTTTTTTTTTTTTTTTATCTTTCAGGCTTTTTCCAACTTCGTGTGTCCGGGCTCCCCTACCCTCTTTCACCTGTCCAACACCCAACCACTTTATTATAAAACGAGTTACGGTACTCTGCCTTCACCGGTAAATATTCATAGCGTATTTATTAGTGATCGGGTGCGACGTGGGGAGGGGGATGGGAACAGAGTGAGAGAGTATTCCCATACGTGAAGGCGCACGGAAGGACGCACGTGCTTTTGCACGCATTTCCGCAAACACAGACGCGAGATAGATAGATAGATAGATAGATAGATAGATAGATAGATAAACAGTCTGACATAGATAGATAGATAGATAGATAGATAGATAGTATAGATAGAGGCTAATAGATAGATAGATAGATAGATAGATAGATAGATAGTATGAAGAGGCTAATAGATAGATAGATAGATAGATAGATAGATAGATAGATAGTATGAAGAGGCTAATAGATAGATAGATAGATAGATAGATAGATAGATAGATAGATAGATAGATAGATAGTATGAAGAGGCTAATAGATAGATAGATAGATAGATAGATAGATAGATAGATAGATAGATAGATAGATAGATTACAGAAGTGGATAGATAGATAGATAGATAGATAGATAGATAGATAGATAGATGTAATGGAATTCTCTTGCGCTTTCCTTCTCTCGTTTCTTGTTTGTCAAAAGAACCCGATCAGCTTTCCCCAGCTGCATAACTCAACGAGGTCAACAAGTG